GGCCTATAGTTTGCGGAACGCCGCTTTAAAAGATTGGTGTTCATCATGACGATAAACTGTTTAACAAATATCTAGAGCTGTTGACATCAACCAATGTAATATTGTTTGATATTAATCAAGTTCATATGTGTCAAGTGTGCTTTAAGCGGACGCACGTAATTTGTACAGTACTTACTTGTAACGTAGTAAAGGTATTCAACGTTCAATCAAGGATTTCCACAAAGTATTACCAAAGGAGGTATATGGTTGCGTAAGGCAGCTCTCCCCCAATCTGGATCCTTACAACGATTACGCGTTGTAATGCTCAAGTTTGGTATCGTTGAACAATTTGAAATTGTATTTACTTTTTGTTTATAGGAACACCAACATAGTATCACAGAGTCCACAACCTTACGACGTGTGTGTTCAAGAGCAAAGTGCAGTTCACTTGGTCGTAAAAACACGGGTAGTTGCATTTAATATCAAATCGTTGTATAGAGGGCGTATACCATGAAGATGTAACGTACAAGAAGTCGAAATAAACCTATTTAATGGTCACATATTCAGTAAGTTTATCAATTATTATTATTATTATTATTATTATTATTATTATTATTATTATTATTATTATTATTATTATTATTATTATTATTATTATTATTATTATAAAAAAGGTAATTTAGTTGTGTGGTAATTTTATTCTGAAATAAGAGTATTGAATGAATGAATGAATGAATGAATGAATAAATGAATGGATGAATAAATGAATGGTTGGTTGTCGTATGAAAATCTTGTTCCGAAATAAGATATTGAATTTGCCGAGTTCAACAGCAATTTTCTTTAGGCCTACTTTAAAGTATTGTCAAAGAGTATGCTTTCTAGTCAAAACGGCAATTACCATACTGGTAATAAACCAAAACGGCTACACTTTTTGACCAGAACGGCAATGGACCAAAACGGCAATATATACCAAAACGGCAATAAACCAAATAAAATAAAACTTTAAACTACAGACAAAATGAGGCTAAAAGAATAGAAGTAAAAAATGCGAAAAAAACATTAATAACAATAATAAGGCCTATTAATAACAATATTATAACAACATACCGGTACACATTCAATAATAAAAGGATTGGTGGAAACACAATAAAAGCGATAAACATTGACATAAATCAAACTTTAAAATACAGACAAAATAAGGCATCTAAATAATTTGTCATGTTCAATAGAAGATGAACCCAGTCAGCAATATTTTGAGTTTTTACCCTAATGGAATTTTGTGACCTTTGACACCTTTGTTAAAATGAAATTCAGAGTATAGTTAACATGTTCACAATGCCTTGTGGAATATCCTTAAGTAATTTGTGTACATGAATAATTGTAAAATTTATGACTGAACTTTGAACTTTAACCTATGGGAATTTTGAACTCAAATGGAGAATTTTGAAAAATGTACTCTAATTACCCCTATGTAATGCCTGACTTCAGCCTGCACTGTTCTAAATGACCCAAGTTTTATTGAAATTTGCAAAATCATTTTCCTCTAGTAGTGAAATTGACCTCTGACCCTATGGAATGATGAGTATATTTCGCTTTTAGAAGATCATTCCTAGTAGATTTAAGTTGAAATGGACAATGTGTAAAAACCAACCCTAATGGCCTACAGTATGTGACCCCTGACCTTAGCCTATTCTCAATTATGAATTTTGATGTGTTGGATGAGGAGTAACTTAATCTATATATAATAGTATTACATTTAAATTTAAAAATTCCAAAATTCATAAAAACCATAGAACATGGCAGCCAAAAAGGCTGAATTACGAATTATGTGACAACAACAAAATAGGAAAATTACATTAACATTTACATAAAATAGTTTAGATAAAAAACAAGAGAATTAAACTACAGAATTATAAATAATAATACTATAGCAATCTGTTATTGTTATAATTATTATATAATTATAAATGATTGCTACAGTAATTATTATTATTATTATAATTATTATAATTATAATTATTATTATTAAATAATTTAATTTATTGCATCAAACCATTAAATTAAAGAATTGCGAATTACGCTAAACATCAATAACATCAAAAAGCATGAAGCACATCAGACATAATAGGAAATTTACATTAAAATTACAGAAAAAGGTTTTACAAATTCACATCAAAAAATAAAAGCATTCACAAATTGGTAAACAAGCTCCAAAAGGACACACTCAAAGCAAAGGAAAACAAAAAAAGCACAGAAGGACAGAAAACATCAGGAAGAAGAATACAAAAAAAGGAGGGGGAATTACTGAACCGCTGATTTACCGCAAGCGTCAAACCCGGGGAGGGGGGGGGGGAGAAAGTTACAAATCGATAGAGTTAATTTTAACAAGATAAGGTAATGGGCTGTTTGGGAGATCCTAAGTATCATTCCTAATAAATTCGAGCTCAAAGGGACAATTATAACAAAAATAACCATAATGACCCTTATGTAATCCTTGTCCTCAGTTTGTTGGGTGGCAGTGTCACTGGTTCTTGAAATGGGTCCAATCATTTGCCTGTGAAGAAAGATATTTAATCTGGAAATTATCCTTATTGACATTTGACCCCAAATCCATGAACGCCATAAAGACCCTGGCTCATGCCAACGCATAATGTGGAAAGGACAAGACTGCGCTATGTTATTTGTGAGAAAAGTAATCTTCTGATTGCCTCTCATTTTTTATTACCCCTATTATAATATTTGGACCCCAAATTTTAAATACTACTGTACCCCATAAACCTAAGATAGTATAGGCCTAATATTCGAGCGGTTAGCAGGGGCGCCGAAAGCTATAGCCATCGGCGCTGGTTCGAACGGCACGCTCGCCTATGGTTCTGGTGGTAGAACAAGTCTTCTCGGATAAGGACTATAAACCGTAGGCCCAGTGTATACAATGGCTCGGGTGCACTATAAAGAACCCAGTAC